CCTAACTTACATTCATACATACACATACTAGGGACAATTTAGACAGGATCCAATTCACCAACCAGCATGTCTTTGGAGGTTGGGAGGAAACCCACGCAGGCACAGGGAGAACATGCAAACTCCAGGCAGGAGGTGCCGTGGCTGGGATTTGAACCAACGACCCGAGTACTGCCAGGAGGAAGTGCTAACCATTTAGCCACTGTGCTGCCTGATAACACATAAATTGTAAATGGTGAAGGTCATACCATTACAGATGTAGGTGGGGGGGGGGGGGGGGGGGGGGGGGGGGGGGCGCTAGCCCCTCATTTCCTTCCATCTTGCTGCTTGCAGGACAGGTTGAATATCAGAATAATGCGCCCCCTAGCAGCTTCTCCGGGGTGTTCAAACCGTGCACATGTGCAGTGTGTTCTCACCCAGCTTCAGCTGAGCTTAGTAATGGCCACTCCGAGCTGTTAAAAGTGTGCGTATGCGCAGTGCGCGATATCCTGCTCTACTGGAGCTCAGTACTCAACAGAATTATTTCATACTGTCATTCTCTTACGGGAGCGGGGAAACTTCTAGAGGTAAATAGGCCGTTTACATTTCAAGAGAACTTTCCCTTAGCTTGGGGAACGAGGTGACCTTTAAAAAGGCTGCTGCTGGCAGTGGGGCTGAACAATGCACCTGTACCGTCTACCTGCCGCTAAACACCAGAGAATCATGCACCAGAGATAGTGTGCATGGGGCCTAAGAGTCACATGGCTGAAAAGTACATCTGTTATGGCATATAACTCTTCTGCATAGCTTAGGGAATTATGATAAAACTAAGGGTGCAAATATACATTCTAATTTAAGCACCTCATTACCAAGCCATAGCCGAAAGATGTCTACACCATGGCTCTCTTGTTCTGGGGGGTGAGGTGTCCATAGACGACCTCCCAAAACGTGCGGCCCCCTGGGGTGCACATCAGATGCCCTATGTGAAGCTGTGTCCTTCGGACACAGCTGATCATAGATCTAGGTAAAGGGGCAATCTCAACAACCCTTTACCATTTGATGAGCTGTGTCCAATCACAGCTCATCCCATGTAAACAAACTGGACAGTTATCGGCATTTCCTTTCTTCACGTAATGTCTCTGTGTGTGGAAAGTACACCGCGTTCCAAATTATTATGCAAATTCTATTTAAGTGTCACAAAGATTAAATATTTTGTTTTTCAGTTTAACTCATGGATAGCATTGTGTGTCAGGGCTCTTTTGATCACTGAAAACAATCTCGGACACCTGTGATAATTTGATTGGCCAGTGAACCCAATTTAAGGAAAAACTACTAAAGGAGGGCGTTCCACATTATTAAGCAGAGCACCATTTTCAAGCAATATGGGGAAGAAAAAGGATCTCTCTGCTGCCGAAAAGAGTGAAATAGTTCAATGCCTTGGACGAGGTATGAAAACATTCGATATTTCACGAAAACTTAAGCGTGATCATCGCACTATTAAGAGATTTGTGGCTGATTCAGAGCACAGATGGGTTCGTGCAGATAAAGGCACATTGAGGAAGATTTCTGCCAGATTCATGCATCGGATCAAGAGAGCAGCTGCTAAAATACCATTACATAGCATCAAACAGATATTTGAAGCTGCTGGTGCCTCTGGAGTCCCACGGACATCAAGGTGTAGAGTCCTCCAGAGTCTTGCAACTGTGCATAAACCTTCTATTCGGCCACCACTAACCAATGCTCACAAGCAGAAACGGCTAATTTTCAAACAGTCCTGTTCACTGATGAGTGCCGTGCAACCCTGGATGGTCCAGATGGATGGAGTAGTGGATGATTGGTGGACGGCCACCCTGTTCCAACAAGGCTGTGACGTCAGCAAGGCGGTGGTGGAGTCACGTTTTGGGCCGGAATCATGGGAACAGAGCGTGTCTGCCCCTTTAGAGCCCCCGAAGGTGTAAAGATGACCTCTGCAAAGTATGTGGAGCTTATGATTGACCACTTTCTTCCCTGGTACAGAAGGAAGAACTATGCTTTCCGTAATAAAATCATCTTCATGCATGACAATGCACCATCTCATGCTGCAAAGAATACCTCTGCATCAATGGCTGTTATGGGGATAAAAGGAGAGAAAGTCATGGTGTGGCCTCCATCCTCTCCTGACCTCAATCCTATTGAGAACCTTTGGAGCATCCTCAAGCAAAAGATCTATGAGGGTGGGAGGCAGTTTACATCCAAACAGCAGCTCTGGGAGGCTATTCTGACATCTTGCAAACAAATTCAAGCAGAAACTGTCCAAAAACTCACAAGTTCAATGGATGCAAGACTTGTGAAGCTGCTATCAAATAAGGGGTCCTATGTTCCTATGGTCCTACGTGACCTGTTAAAATGTTTAAACAGTTAAAATATTGTTACAAGTTTGATTTGAAATAGCTTTTGATTTCAGTAAATATGCTGCAAACACAACAAATGACAATTTTCAGTTCTTTACAACCTATAAAGTGTTTTGAAACTTACTGTGCGGAATAATTTGGAACAAAAATCCTGTTATTACGAGGTTTGTTCAATAAAATGTGAATTGTACTCTTAATAGTTGATAACATGAGAATTATGCCGACTGTTATTTACATCAATTATTTAGGGAAATGAGAAAAATATAATTTGCATAATAATTTGGAACATGGTGTAGAGCCGATAACTGGCAATCCAGACAGAACACACTTACACTGATAATCCGGGCACTGATCATCATTTTCCTGATCATCAGTGCAGTCTCATCAGTGCCAATTAGTGCAGCTTATTAGTGCAGCTTATCAGTGCCACCTATCAATGCCCATTGGTGCAGCCTCACCAGTTCCCATCGGTGCAGCCTCAACAGTGCATATCAGTGAAGAAGAAAAATTTCTTATTTGCAAAATTTAATAACAGAAATTAAAAAAAAAAGTTGTTTTTTGTCCCCAAAATTTTCAGTCTTTTGTTTAGAAAAAAAAAACCCTAGTGGTGATTAAATACAACCAAAAGAAAGCTCTATCTGTCTAGAAAAAAAAAAAAAGTGATAACATTTTCATATGGGTACAGTTATGGGACTGCGCAATTGTCATTCAAAGTGTGATAGTGCTGAAAATTGGCCTAGGCAGGAAGAGGGTGAAAGTGCCCGGTATTGAAGTTGTTCAAGACAGTAGGGGAGATTAACTAAAACTGGTGCACCAAAAAACGCATTGGTGTGAATCAGGCCTTAGGGTGACAACACTGTCCTTGTCTTCCAAGGGTGTTCCTGCATTGTTACCCTGGTACAGGGACTTCGGATAGAGATCAAAAGAGCACCAGAAAAGCCACCTTGAGATATGCCATGCAGCCATCGCCAGAGTGCATTTGGACAGGAGGTGGCTGCAAAAAATCTGCAGAAGATTTCAACAAAAAAAAACAAACAAAAAAGGAATTTTATATAGTGCTTAAGAAAACTAAGCCAGAGGTTGACTAAAAACAGAAGCACTCAGAATCTGGTGCAACTGTGCATGGTAGCCCATTAATTTCTAACTTCAGCTTGACAATAAAACCTGGAAGCTGATTGGTTTCTCTGCAGAGCTGCACCAGATTTTGCACCATGCAGTTTTAGTAAATAACCCTGACTGTCATCTGTTTATTTATGGCAATGTAACCTTGCCTTCTGATAGCCCCTCTACCTCCTGCAAGGTATACTCAGATCCACACTCCTTTAGTTGCTTCCCAGCTGTAGCAGTGCAACCCAAGTAAGTTCAGTGTTGGATGGTGTTGGGGCTTACTTGGACAGAGAGTGTCACTCCAATCCAATTACTATCACACACGGGAAGGTCTCATGGTCCCCCAAACTTGGAAGCCATGCTCTGTCAGAGCACCAAAGTGAGGACTTTGATGAACCAGGAAGACACTGAAGGAGTGTGCATTGGTGAGCGTACCTTGCTTGAGGAGGCGGCTACCAGGAGTCACATTCACTTTGTCCTGAATTAATAAAGTGACATTGGAGTTTGAATGACTTAAAGCAAAACTATACTCATCTGCTTTCATTCTCTTGCTTCCTTACCAGTACCTGGTCTTCTTCCAGGATCAGGATCTTTGGCTATCTTGAGTGGCTGGGCTGATTATTTGCAGGTAGACTCTGTATGGGCAATTACATGCGAACGGCCAGGAATAGCTGCAGGAACTGTCAGCCTCTCAGTGCTTTCCATGAGGCTTCCTTACCAGTACCTGGTCTTCTTCCAGGATCAGAATCTTTGGCTATCTTGAGTGGCTGGGATGATTATTTGCAGGTAGACTCTGTACGGGCAATTACATGCGAACGGCCATGAATAGCTGCAGGAATTGTCAGCCTCTCAGTGCTTTCCATGAGGCTTCCTTACCAGTACCTGGTCTTCTTCCAGAATCAGGATCTTTGGCTATCTTGAGTGGCTGGGCTGATTATTTGCAGGTAGTCTCTGTGCTTTCGATGAGGTTTTCTGCTTGCCGCTAATCGAAGGGAGCCCCACTGGGTCTCCTGCAGCTAACTACAAATGACCCCATTCGCAGGTGTGAATACAGGCCTAACACTGAAATTCCAGATTATTGCATTATGACTGGTTCCCTTAAAGACACAGTCATTATTTAGGGTCAGTTTAAACACTAATACTGAATAACGTAAGCTGACACAAAGAGGCAGAGGTCCTTTGCTTCTTATGAATGGTTGAGGACCACTTTACATCCATGATAACCCTCTGTGTTCACCATGAAGGTGAGCAGACCTTCACTGTCTTAGTGGAGTAGAAGGAAATTTAATCTCCTAGTATATTTTTAGGTTGTAGGAGCAAACCCACACAAACACTGGAAGAACATACAAACATCATAATTATTGAACACAGAACCTGAGTGATGCAAGGTCACAACTCTAACCACTTAGCCACCATATTCCATATAGGGCATATTTCACCTTTACTTCCCTCCTTCCATTCTGTCCTCTACCTCTTTAGGTCCCAAACCCTGAAGGACAACATCTAACCTCCCTGTTCTCATTTCAGGGGTGATCCTTTTCAGGTGAAAATGAATGTTGCAATCACTTGTGGCTACCTCGTTTATGGTAAACATACATATATATATAAATATCAAATGTATGATAGTAACAATATCAGGAACAAGGAGATAAATCATGAGTTTGATCAGATTGAAAGAGCCACTGAAGGTTCCATAACTGTTTGGAGTATTGGGGCTCATACCCAAAAGGAAGAACAGGTATTCGCATGCAGCCAACCAGACTCTCACTCTGGAATAATTAAAGAGGGGGTGTTTGGATGCTCTGGGCGGTACGAATAGTTCTTCCTTCAAACAGTTTCATGTATGAGACTCCTGATTTTATTCAAGAAGGGTTTTCATGATGCCACCCCACTGACATGCATCTAACCAGAATCTGTCTGGTCTCCAAGTATATCTAAAGCCATAACATATTTTTTTTTTTTTACTTAGAGTAGGGAATGGTTAAAACCCCTGTTAATTTTGGTGTCCCACTTGGGAAACTTCCCTTTACATCACGTCCTACGAACATAATAAGTGAGAGGTAATCTTTCGAAAGTAGGGAAAAACCACTCACAGTCACAGAAAGAAGTGTCCCCATTTGAAGATTTCCATTTTGTCCCAGTTCTAAGAAATTAAAATGCAGGATTTTCCTTTATTTTCAGTCTTGGTGACAGTGGTCACCAGGACAAATACAGAGGGTGAATATCCCAAGTGGGGACACAGAAGTATTAAAAACTTGAAAGAGGTTCTAGCCCCTTACCACATTGTCCCAAAAAAAGAAAAAAACGCTTTAGATACACTTTTAATATAGTGGATTCTGGTTGATTGTTATAGTTTATTTTGAAGAATAAGTACTCAATAATAAGAACTCTATTGATCAAAAGTTATATTTTTTCAGTTACTGAATTATCCACTAGCTTCTTACATATGGACCATCATGCTCCGCAGTTTGAAAATGATTAAAGAGGAACTATAATAGTTTGGGCACAGTTTTATTTTAGATACGATTTAATTTTTTGTTGTTAATCTGTTGAATATCTTTTTTTTTTTGCTGTATTTTACTATGTATATGAAATCTTTATTTTATATATAATGTAAATATTAAGGGTTCCCACATAACTGTGGTGTCAGAGAACATTGTGTTTTATTTAACAGTAAGGCAGTGTTTCTCAACTCCAGTCCTCATGGACCCCCAACAGGTCATGTTTTCAGGATTTCCCTCAGATGAAACAGCTGTGGTAATTACTAAGGCAGTGAAACTGATCAAATCACCTGTGCAAAATAATGGAAATCCTGAAAACATGACCTGTTGGGGGTCCATGAGGACTGGAGTTGAGAAACACTGCAGTAAGGTAAGAAGGAATAAGGACCAATGTAACAGGAAAAGCCCTAGCACTTTCTGATACTGCGTAACAGTGTTGGTGCTTGGCCTGTCAAATTGGCAATTATCTGTATCATCTTATTTTCGAGGCTGCTGCAGGTAAGTGCTATTCTCTAAACCTGCAGCATTTTGTTTTTCCCCCTCCATTACATAACCTCTTTAAGGGTAGCTTAGTCAACATATGTAATTGAACCTAAAGCTCCGACTAATGGCTGACATTTTAAACATGAAACATAAAATAATTCCTGTTTGAGTGTGTAAAAACAGTAGAATTTATACCATAAGGCCAAAAGTATTGTGGACACTTGACAATTACACCAAATCATGGACATTAACATGGAGTTTCCCCTCCCCTTTGCGGCTGTAACAGATTCTACTCTTTAGGAAAGGCTTTTCACAAAATTTTGGAGGTTGTGGGAATCTACATCCATTCAGCCAAAAAAAAAAAATTTGTGAGGTCAGGTACTGATGTTGGATGAAAAGACCTGGTCCAGCTCATCCAAATGGTGTTCAGTAGGGTTGCGTTGAGTGTGGAACACTCAAGTTCCTCCACATCATGCTCATCAAACCAAGTCGTTATGGCGCTGACTCCATGCACAGGGACACAGTCATGCTGGAACAGAAACGGTTGTTTGCCAAACAAGGCTGGATATGCACATTGTCTAAAATGTTTTTGTATGCTGTAGAGTTATCTGTGCTCTTCACTGGAAACCTGAACTCAATAATTTAGGCTAGATACACATTTGAACTGAGCACCTTTGGTTGGGACTACTAGAAACAAAAATAACAATCTGTGCATATTTTTTGAATTTTTTTTTGTGTATGTTCACACATTTTTTTAGGTGTGCCAATTAAAGTCTTTTGGGACCAAAAACACCTGCAGCTTGTAGCACAAAAGGAAGCTCATGTACTTTTGCTAGCCACAAGCTTCAAGCAACACTACGCTCAAATGTGAACAGGCACAGCTGAAAATCATGGGATTTTGGATGGTGAGCATTTTGGAGCTTCACGCTATAGAACAATCAGGTGTGAATGAGGCATTAGAGAGGTGTCAACATCCTTTTGAACCTATATAGTGGATAGGTGTGATGGTCAGGTGTGCACAAGCTTCAGGCCTTGTAGTGAACAGCCTTGCCAGAACAGCTCCCCTCAGATCATGCCACATTTCAGAGAAATTGTGTTGAGATATCCTGCTTGGTGTTTCTACAATATGGAATTTATGTTGTCCAATCTGCTTTTTTGTTGATGTACATTATTGTTTTGGCTCATGGTCATGTTGCAACCAATTTCAGATTTTAACCACTGATTGATGCCTTGACATTGTAAAGATATTTTCCAGGCAAGCAGCAAGCCTTCTGGGCCTTGCATCAGAAAATCAGCCAACATTATATCCCCTTCACCTTGCTTTAGAGTTGTATTGGTTTTTAATGTTGGTATGCAGTGTTCAGTTTTTCTCCAAATGTATTACTATGCATATACTCAAAATTTTTTTTCTAATTTGCCAACAAAACAGTGCTGTGGAACATCTAGATGTCCTCTAGAAGGAACACCTAGATGATCTCTAGAATGAACATTTAGATCAGTGGTCTCCAAACTGCAGTCTGGGGGCCGGATGCAACCCTTGATCTAGCCCTTGGGGCACTTCTCTTCCCACTGATAGGAAACTGTTCTGCCAACTGATATCAACAATGGGGTACCATTTATTCCACTGGCACCAACAATGGGGCATTATTCCTTCCAATGATATCAATGATGGGGTACTATTCCTCCCCCTAATACCAAACGTATTATGTTTACTCTTACTGATGCCAGAGAATATTTCAATCCCACTGGTCTCAGTCTGCCCCCCCCCCCCTAAAATCTGAAGGACAATAAACTGGCCCTTTGTTTAGAAACTTTGGAGACCCCTGATCTAGATGATCTCTAGAAGGAACATCTAGGTGATCTCTAGAAGGAACATCTAGGTGATCTCTAGAAGGAACATCTAGTTTATCTCTAGAAGGAACTTCTAGGTGATCACTAGAAGGAACATCTAGGTGATCTCTAGAAGGAACATCTAGGTGATCTCTAGAAGGAACATCTAGGTGATCTCTTGAAGGCACATCTAGGTGATCTCCTTGAAGGCACATCTAGGTGATCTCCTTGAAGGCACATCTAGGTGATCTCTTGAAAACACATCTAGGTGATCTCTTGAAAACACATCTAGGTGATCTCTTGAAAACACATCTAGGTGATCTCTTGAAGGCACATCTAGGTGATCTCTAGAAGGGACATCAAGGTGATCTTTAGAAGGAACATCTAGGTGATCTCTAAAAATGTTTTCTCTAAGCTCCTATGTGCACTGTTCTTGTTCTCGGTTTTTCTACTTGTGATAGTTCACAATGTCTTCTTTGATGCGAATTGATGGAGACCCATGCATATAGATATCCTTTTTAGACTTGTAAGTGTAAACAACTCTTCAGCTGACTTCTGAAATCCCCTGGACTATATTGTGGTTAGTAAAATCCAATTATAAACAATTTGTTCCACAACGGGGATCCCTTGACTCTAATTACCCTAAATTTGCTTTAACTTGCACTTTTCTATCCATTACCTTTTAAAGTTTTACCCATAGATCATTAATAACCTGACATGGCATGATTTTGTAAGTTTTTTGTAGTATGACTTGGACAAAGCCATTCAGGCTCGGATCCAAAAAATTATTGGAGATTTACCAACTTTTTATCAGAGCTGTAAAGAAGTTGTTTCACATAAAATTAATTCTAAATACATTTAGAAACTCATGTAATCCCATCCTTGTAGTGCTACAAAGCTGCATAGTATAGTGACAATGCTTCCAAGAGCCTGCAGTCCTTCAGACTATGTGCCCATATAAAGCTCTGCTCCTCCTGTAAACTCACCCTATCACCCCCTGATGTTCGCTTTCAGCCAGTGCCTGTCTTCTCTCTGAATCAGTGCTGGGTGGAGTTTGTTCACATTGGTGGTAGGTCTGCTTTTGTTGTTGAATCACCGTCAGAACTGTTGACAAATGTGAAGTTCCATACAAAAAGGCTCTATGGCTACCCATAAGACAACTGTTTTATGAAACCTTATTTTGAGTTGATGTACTTGTGCTATCAGTGTAAAGTTACGATTTTAATGAATAAATAACAATTTTAAATAGGTTTTATATTTTCCTGGAGTTCAACTTTAAATATAGAGTATCTTTTTAAATTATGCTAGTGAAATCTATCTGTTTTTTTTTAACATGTTGTGTTTTTTTCCACCAGATTTGTTGCTTTTTGCTCGCTATTGGAAGGAAATGAGAGACCCTTATATGGTCTGCCACCACTTTGCAGTGATCTACGCATACGGATATGTGCTGGTATGTCACTACTTGCAAGTACAGTACACTCTGATCACAGGAAATGTGATTATAATATTTCATAAATCATATTCTTTTGACATAAACATTATATTGCCAAAATTTTGTGGACACCTGACCATACCACCTCCTATGAGCTTCTTAGACATCCCATTCTAAAACCATGGACATCAAAATGGAGTTGGCTCCCCAGAGCTATAACAGCCTGCATTATTCTGGGTTGGTTTTTTACAAGATTTGAAGTGCCCCTGAAAGAGAGCATTTGTTGTATGAGAAGACCTAGCTCACAATTGGCATTCCAGTTTATTCCCTAGTTGTTCAGTGGGTTTGAGGTCAGGACTGTGTGATGACATTTAATCATTCCCCCACTGTGAGCCAGTTGGACACCCCATTCAAAATCTCAGGCATTAAAATGGAGTTGGTTACCCACAGCAATAACAGCCTCCATTCTTCTGGGAAGGATTCTCACAGGATTTGTAGATGTCTGTAGGAATTCTGAGCTCATTCATCCAAAAAACATTTTGTGAGGTCAGGTACTGATGTTTGTTGAGAAGACTTGGCTTGCAATTGTCTTTCCAATTCATCCCATAGGTGTTCAGTAGAGGTTAGGGCTCTGCGTAGACACCTGACCATTTTCCCCCTATGAGCTTGTTGGATGTCCCATTTCAAAATTATGGGCATTAAAATGGAGTTTGTTCCCCACGGCTATAACAGCCTCCACTCTTCTGAGAAGGATTTCCACAAGAGCTTTAGATGCCTGTAGGAAGTTTGTGCCAAAACAGCATTTTGAAGTCCGGTACTGGTTTTGGACAAGACCTGGCTCACAATTTGAATTCCTATTCATCCCATAGGTTTTCAGTAGGGTTGAGGTCAGGGCTCTGTGTAGGACACTCCATTTCCTCCATACCAAACTCAGGAAGCAATGTCTTTGTGCACAGGGGTGCATTCATGCTACAAGAGAAAAAGACCTGTCTCCAAACTGTATGAAAGCACACAATTGTGTACAAAATGTCTTTGTACCCTTCACTGGAAAAACCTTTACTCCATTGTTTGAAGGGGTGTTCATGCACTTTTTGCCTTACATTAAGTGTGACAGTCCAGTGTCCACATTAGAAACGGAGAAGGATCCGGCGCTCAGTCCATAGATACTCCACAATACAGTAAAGGGAGTTGGAGGGGAAGGGGAGGGTTTTTTTGGGGGAAAATAGGGATAAAAATGAAAAGTATAGTTCAACATGAACTAGCAAAAAACCATAATAAGTGCTGTAGGCACACAGGTGGTAAATACATAAAGTACATAAAGAGTCTCTGTATAATGAGGTGGTAAGTGGTTAATGGCTGCCGTCCTATAGAGCAAGACCAACTCTGCATGCAGAAATAGAGAAGCGAAAAAAGGAGGCGCCAAAAAACTAAGTGCAGATTATTGTTGTCACATTTAATGGATAGGTATAAAAACACTCAGAAGAACAAAGATATAATAAAGCTCATCTGTATAAAAGGTCATCTGTGTGGGACCACTCTCCTCCATCCTATAGGGTACCACCGGGCAAGCCAGAGTGACAGCTGGAGCCGTGGGTGCAGTGGAGAGACTCCCCTGGGTGTGTGGCTGGGCTGGAGCCCATCAATGGCGTCTGTATCCAGGAGGCCTATAAAAAGTGCTATACAACAATAATCTGCGCTTAGTTCTTGGCGCTTCCTTTTTTTTCTCTTCTCAGTGTCCACATTAGGAAAGGGGAAATGTTTGGGGGGAGGGGGGTTGGGGCCAAGGTACATGGATTGGGAACCTGAACATGACTGGGAAAAATACTGACTGGTTCTTGATCACTGTATCTGACAAACTAGACCTGTTCTGTTTAGGGGTATTTATTAACACCCCAAATGCATCATTCTGCTGTGCATTAATATTAGGAAGGGTTAAACAACTATAGAACTACTATATGCTTTGTTTGCTCTATTATTTATTGATGCAATTGCTGATTAAAAAGTCATTATTTTACCTTACAGAACCGAGGAGTGCTGCCATATTTTGCCAATTTTCGGTTGATATCTGAACTTTCAACGCCCTTTGTAAATCTGAGGTGAGAATCCTACTTATTAGGAAAATTGCCAAAGTGCAAAAATAAAATCTGTGACAAACCTGGGAAATTCAAACTGAGACTAAGATGGCAAAACAAAAGAACAACTGAGGTTAGCTTCATGCTAAAACCATCACTAGATCCAGAGGTATGGATGGCTGAACTTATATGTACATTTAAACTGTTGTACTTTGGCTCCATCCTCTTCCAGCTGCTGAACCTCCTTATTGGCCCTTTAATGTGATAGGTGGAGGTGAAGTAAAGTATGATAGTTAAAGTGGACCTTCACTCCAGTGTACATGACTTATTGTCCTGCCTCCTCCCCCTTCCTTTCTAGAAATTGTATATACAGGTAAATTATATAATCTTTTAATGACACTTATTGGGCAGCACAGTGGCTAAATGGTTAGCACTTCCACCTGGCAGTACTAGGGTCGTTGGTTCAAATCCCAGCCACGGCACCACCTGCCTTGAGTTTGCATGTTCTCCCTGTGCCTGCGTGGGTTTCCTCCGGGTACTCCGGTTTCCTCCCACACTCCAAAGACATGCTGGGAGGTTAATTGGATCCTGTCTAAATTGTCCCTAGTATGTGTATGTATGAATGTGAGTTAGGGACCTTAGATTGTACGCCCCTTGAGGGTTAGGGACTGATGTGAATGTACAATATATATGTAAAGCGCTGTGTAAATTGACGGCGCTGTATAAGTACTTGAAATAAATAAATAAATAATAGTGCCGAATAGCAAACAATGCCCTGGTCATGAAGGGGGTAAAAAATGTGTGCTGTAACGCAGGACGTCCGCATTTCTTGCCTATTGCCTAGGCGACAATAACAATTGTGTTGTGAGGTTTTTACTGAAGGCAACCTGCATATATGTACTTTTTTTTTTCATCATTTGTCCAACTGAAATTGTCTATGTGTGTGACGGGTTCACTTTAAAATGACTAAGGACACAACTCACCATCTGGCATTTATATTTCCATCCTAGCATTCATATGGGATGGCATTTTACTGCTCGTGTTTCCTAATCCAAATGGGGAAAAAAATAATTAGATACATGACAGTAACTTTAATAACTTAGAGCAGGGGTCTCCAGACTGTGGCCTGCCACAAAACTTTATCTGGCATGCAGCTGATGTGCACAGACTGAGGATCCGGGTCAGTTCATCTTTGCTGATGGGTAATACATGAAAGAAAAGCAAAACCAGCGCTCAGGTCCATACACGTCCTAAGAATTCGGTACCAGTCACTCGCTGAGGGGCAGCCCTCTAAAGATCGGGGAATCTTGATTATACTGAAAAAAGGTAAAAAAGGGCGCAGTCTCCTCGTGCATTACCATGATAAAAAAGAATTATTGAAAATGACAAAAATGTATACTCACAAACCAAGAGTCATAAATAAAAGCAAGGAACCAAAGTGACAGTTACAGCAAATGGTGGGCTTGCAACAGGGTGTGCTAACGCGTTTCGGGAGACAAGCTCCCTTTCTCAGAGCTGAAACAAATGGGCATGTTTGAAGCCTGTATAAGGGAGCAGGATCCTGTTTCCCTATATAGGCTTCAAACATGTCTTGTTGTTTCAGCTCTAGTTGTTTCAGTTCTTTCAGCTCTGAGGCTTCAACCATGTCTAGTTGTTTCAGTTCTGAGGAAGGGAGCTCGGCTCCCGAAATGCGTTAGCACACCCTGTCGCAAGACCACCATTTGCTGGGACTGTCACTTTGGTTCCTTGCTTTTATTTATGACTCTTGGTTTGTGAGTATACACTTTTGTCATTTTCAATAATTCTTTTTTATCATGGTAATGCACGAGCAGAGTGCACCCTCTGCTGATGGGTACCCTGATATAAGGGGCACTCTGATGGGGACCCAGATGTAAAGGGGGAGCTCTGATGGAGACCCTGAAGTAAGAGGGGTCACTGATGGGGGACCCTAATGTAAGGAAGAACTCTGATGTAAGGGGGACTCCTAAGGTGAACCCCCTGATATAAGGGGGTTCTGATGTGGAAAAGGATGCAATTCTTCTGTTTATTATCACACCTCCATATAAATTGGTACCCTGATATAAGGGGCACTCTGATGGGGACCCAGATGTAAAGGGGGAGCTCTGATGGAGACCCTGAAGTAAGAGAGAGGGGGTCTCTGGTGGGGACCCAAATGTAAGGAAGAACTCTGATGTAAGGGGGACTCTTAAGGTGAACCCCCTGATGTAAGGGGGGCTCTGATGTGGAAAAGGATGCAATTCTTCTGTTATCATACCACAATATAAATTGGTACCCTGATATAAGGGACACTCTGATGGGGACCCAGATGTAAAGGGGGAGCTCTGATGGAGACCCTGAAGTAAGAGAGGTCTCTGATGGGGACCCTAATGTAAGGAAGAACTCTGATGTAAGGGGGACGCCTAAGGTGAACCCCCTGATATAAGGGGGGCTCTGATGTGGAAAAGGATGCAATTCTTCTGTTTATTATCACACTGCAATATAAATGAAGAGGAAGTTCAGGTGACATGCTACCTCCTTCTTTATCGTCTTTAAGATTTACAATTTCTGTTTTATTTTTTACTAGTTGCTTTTTGTACTGCTGTCATCTTCCATGCTTCCCTATGAAATTGCTTTCACTTTGGTACCAAAGATTTGACTTCTGTAACCTTGGGCTAAGCTGCAACCAACTAGCTTCCTATTCTGTCAATGGAGAGCACCCTTTATTGGCCAGTGGTGCACTCTCACTTATCAGGGGATGATGGTGGATGGAAGTGAGTAGAGTTTACTCCCACAGTCAAAATGAGCAAACCTTTATGTACAAGGTGAAAGCAAAATAATTGGGGCACAACGAAAAGGTTTTCAGGCTAACAAGGTGTCAGCAGGAGCCTCATTGTACCTGGTCTTAGGCCTGATATTTTTTAAAAAAGGCTTTAAAACATTTCAGTCCATTCAGTCCAGTATAGCAGCCAAGAAGCTGAAGGGGCCGAGGGAACTGGCTTACCACCATCTTCTCTACCTAAACATAGACTCTCTCCTTCATCAGAGATCAAATGACCAATTCCTAGATATGTCAGCAGGTAATCCGCTGTTTTTAATCCTGATACATGTGCTTCAACTGTATACAAACCACAAGGCTTTAAAAAAAGCTGATATTTCATGCGTTCCTTACCAGGCTCATAGGGTTTCTAAAGCCTGATGTACAGTATATTCACATTTGGTGATTTAATGCATTTCTATCCTTCAATATAGGTGGTTCTTCGATGCTGTTGGACTGCCACGTTCCTCCCAGCCCGTCCTGATCAATGGCTTGGCAATGGCCGTGGTCTTCTTCATTGTCCGAATTGCCGTCATTCCCAGCTATTACTCACAAGTCTTTGCCACGTTTGGCACGGAAGGTTACATCAGGCTGGGCATTGGCCCACAAGTGGCGTGGATTGTCTCCTGTGTCATCTTGGACATTCTCAATGTCTTCTGGATGTATAAAATCGCAGCTGGATTTTACCGGGTAGTGACAAAAGGCAAACCTGGAGGCAAGCCTAAAAGAAACCATGCAGAATGAGAACATGTGAACTACCATAATGTCCAACCTACCAAGAGAGACTCCAAATTTTAAGCCTTCCTGTGGAAGAGACCACCTCATGTGATACTTCAGAAAAGTCACATTCCTAGTCCTAGTTTTTTGAATGTATAAGTAGGATGCCTTTTGAGATCATTTTAATCAGTGTTTTTTTTTATACTAACCACTATCCAAAATTGTGTTTGAGAAGGTTTGTGGTACTAATGCCAGTTACTTGAATCTGCCTGATGACAAATTCTAGAAATATAATTGCTCTGGGTTTTAAGCTTCCAGGGTAAAATGTGGAACTTTTGATATAAATTGAGGTAAGTAGGAGCCCTAATTCCACCAAGATATGATCACAGCTTAATGACAAGACCATATATTGCAACCAGTTAACACTGCAAAACTAGTTCTACAAAGTGCCAAATTTTTTATTTTTTTTTAGTTGGACAAGACTTCAGGACTTTGAGTGCCAAGTAAGGGGTCTTCAAATGCTGCTCAGGAAATATATATGCAGATAAGCTAACCACATAAAGAAAGGTCTTTGGGTAAATACCATTTTACATGGTAAATGAGCGTCCCATCCACGTTTGCTTCTAAAGCATCTGGTGCTTGCTAAGCCAGGATACCTAAGCTGGCCATACATGAATTGAAATTTGGACGGTTCAGCAGGGACCAGCCGTTAATCGATCCATGTTTGGGCAGGCTGATTGTACCCAAGTTGATACATCCATAGAACCAGCCTGTCGGAATTTTTTCATACGATTACTGCCGGCAGCTATAGTCGCTAGCAGTAATCGTGTTTTGCCGGTTGTGAAGACTCCTGCACCTCCCCGTTGGCAGAACACAATGGTACTGTATGAGGCATTCCCCCATCAACACTGACTGTTTTGATGGTGGAATTGAGTGATTTGGGGTGGAAAGAAAGAAAAATGATTGATCTATGACTATATATAGTTTGTAGGATGGTACTTTTTCATTTTATCAGTGTGAGACTCATTGTTCTTTGCAGCCTGAGAAGCAATGTATGTATATATATCCCCTTACATTTTTTTTCTAAATTTTACTCCAGTGTCATTTAGCTTGGTAGACCCATTGGGGTTTATTTACTAAAACTGGAGAGTCCAAAATCAGACTCCCTTCTGCATAGAAACCAATCAGCTTCTAACCTCAGCTTGTTCAATGAAGCTTTGGCAATGAAACCTGGAAGCTGATTGGTTTCTATGCAGAAGGGAGTCTGATTTTGGACTCTCCAGCTTTAGTAAATAAACCCCAAAGTGCCACTTAGAGATGAAGGCTAATGGGCAGGACAGATGCCAGAGCAGACAGTGGCCGAGTTAGCAGGTTGATAGAACAGGAGCAGGCATACTAATCCTAAACAAAGGCCAGGATCCAGACCTGTAAACTGAGCAATGGTTGACAATTTAGGTAATAGGCTGACAATTAGGATAAGCGCAGACAGCTACAAAAACAGTCCAAACAATGCACAGGAATAAACAAAGACATTAACAACCAGTCAGACAGACCTGTGTCCAGGGCATTAGCAAATAGAATAACCTATTTATCAGGAACAGGCTGAACGTCCAGCAGTCTTCTAAAGCGCTTTCTTGATTAGGACAGGTGTGTGCTGCAGAATGTGGCACTGCTGAGTAACAACTAGTGGGTAGCAAAGGGACAAGGCTGAATATCTGGTTAGGTTAAAGTGTTACTAAAGTCTGATTTTTTTTTTTTTTTTTTCAATTAAAATATCAAACATGATATACTCACTTGCTCTGTGCAGTGGTATTACGCAGACCGGACTCAATCCTCCTCTTCTCGGGTCCCCCACCAGTAATCTCGGCTCCTTTTCTTTGTGTGTCCTCCACAGTAAGCTGTTTGCTGTGGGGACACATGCTGCGTGCACACTCCCGACCTGTGTGTCTATGGAGCCGCACTCCATAGACATACACAGTGGGACTCAGCCCTCCCCCACACTTCCTCTTCATTTGATTGACAGCACCAAGAGCCAATGGCTCCTGCTGCTGCTAGAGTCCCTGTGTAAAGAGGAAGAGAGGGGAGAAGAGATGCAGCCGTGCACAGCATTGATCTCTTCTCCCTTTCACACAGGGAAGGGGGAGCACCGACAAATAGAAAACATTTTTTACCTTAATGCAAGCAGTGAATTAAGGTAAAAAACGTTTTTAGGTTTAGTATCACTTAAAAAAAAAAAAAAAGTAATGTTCGTGGGTGGGGAGGCTAGAGGATATTTTGAAATCTAGTGTGCGGTAAACTTATGGGGCTACCACGTAAAAATGGTATTTATCCAGAAGTCTTTTTCTCAATTTGAAGGTAGAACTTCTGAAACGTTCTCATTCCTGGATTGTTTTTCATTTAAGTGCAAAATGTGTTGTAACATGGGCACAGATGGCCTCAGAGATTGCAAAACAGATATGTGATTATTTTTATGTAGGAGCAATGCAATACATACTGGTATATGAAATCCATTCTAACTTTTTATTACTTGTTATTACCATGTTCCAGTGATACGTGCAAACTAGTTTTAAAATAAATATAAAACCATCCAAACGGTGTCATTACATTTCTGACTTAGAGAAAAAAAACAGCAGAAATAAGGACATTTTGGGCTCGTTTACACACCACCCGCTCAACACAATCCCAATGCAATAACAAGGTAAATACAGGCATACCTCGGTTTACGAATTTAATTCATTCTGCGGGACTTTTCGTATTGTGAAAAATTTGTAAACCGAAACGTAGTTGCCCATAGGAATGCATTGAAAATCAATTAATCTGTTGCGGAAGGCAGAAAAAAGTAAAACAAAAAAGTCTTATCTGTTCAAAACTTTTTATAAAGTGCACTTTAACCACTTGCCCAGCCACTGTACATATACGGCGGCAGGGCGGCACTCGCAGGCAAAACCACGTTTTAAAACGTGTGTTTTGTAAACAAATAGGGGGGCGCGCGCGAGGCGCGCCGCCGCCCTATCTGTCCCGCCGATCACGCCGCAGATGTGAGTCGCCAGGTCACAGCCGGTCCTTAGCGGCTGTTTCCCGGCAATCGGCGACAAACAGCACAGCTGCAGTAGCTGTGCTGTCTGTCACTTCCCTGTCAGCTCGAGGATGAGCTGATCGAGAGAGAACAGTTTTTCTCTTTCTCGATCAGCCTTGTCCCCCGTCCAGTACACACCCCCGCCCCCTAGTAAAACACTCCCCTCACTCCTATAACCCTTCCCTGCAAAATAAAGTTAACCCCTTCCTCCCCATTGCCATTAGTACAGTGTCTGTGTTTTTTTTTTTGCACTGATCACTGTATTAGTGTTTTTGGGGATGTCAGTGACCCCCAAGTCAGTACCCCCCAATGTCAGAATATCCGCCGCAGTCCCACCATAAGTCCCTGATCGCCGCCATAATTCGCTTATCGCCGCCATTATTAGTATAAAAAAAACCTAAAAATCTGAGTATCTTTCCCGCCATTTGTAAACGCTATAACTTTCACGTAAACCAATTAATTTACACGTATTGTTTTTTTTTTTTTTCAGCAAAGACATGTCGCAGAATGCATTTTGGCAGAAATTTATGACTAAATTTGATTTTTGCATTTTTTTTTTTTTTTACTGGGCATGTTTTATAGCAAAAAGTCCAAAATATTGTTTTTTTTTTCCTCAAAATTGTCAGCCTTTTTTTTTTTTTATAGCGCAAAAAATAAAAACCGTACAGGTGCTCAAATACCACCGAAAGAAAGCTCAATTTGTGGGGAAAAAAAGGATGTAAATTTAATTTATGTACCGTATTGCATGACCGCGCAATTGTCCGTTAAACTAGCGCAGTGCTGTATAGCAGAAAAATGGCGTAAGTTGCAGTATCTATACCATAGTTTGTAGACGCTATAACTTCCACACAAAGCAATCAATATACACTTATTGGGATTTTTTTTACCAAAAACATGGAGCAAAATACATTTTGGCCTAAATTTATAACCAACTTTGAGTTTACTATATATTTTTTTATAGCTGAAAGTAAAAAATATTGTTTTTCTTCAAAATTTTTGGCCTTTTTTTGTTTATAGCGTGAAAAATAAAAAGCGCACAGGTGATCAAATTACACCGAAAGAATGCTCTATTTGTGTGAAAAAAAGGACGTAAATTTCGTTGCGCAATTATCAGTTGAATTAGTGCAGCGCTGAGTAGCAAAAAGAGGCCTGGTCATTAAGGGGGGTAAATCCTCAGGAGCTCAAGTGGTTAAAGGCATAAATACTGTACAGGGACATGATTAAAAATGAATTCGTAAATGCATTGAAAACCAATTAATCCGTTCCGGAGGTCAGGAAAAAGTCCAAAAAAAGTTTTATCTGTTCAAAACTCTTTATAAAGTGCACTTTAAAGGCATAAATACTGTACATGAACATTATTAGAAAAAAAATTTGTAAATGCATTGAAAACCAATTAATCCGTTCGTATTGTGAAAAAAATGTGTAAACTGAGCTACCCCTCCTTAAAGGTACAGGAGCAAAAAGGACACTCAGCATCTAGCACAATGGCAGCCAGGGTATCAAATACACCCACCTTTAAGGAGGGGAGGGCTCCCTCGGATCACCTGCCCTTGGTCTATCCATTAAATACATGTGCCTCTACTATGAGGACTCCAAAAATTATAGAGTTAGGACCACAGAATATCGGGGGTGCCATGATGTGGCTCTGTGGCTTACGTATGTATTTGCAAATGTGTGCTAACTAAACCCCTGTTTTTAAAGGCATACTGTTAGACAGGTTAATTTGGTTGTTGGCTGGCTGGCATGTTGAACTGGTTATCTTATCCCCCTCTTTGATAAGTTATACCTAGCCATGTTCCTTGTGGAAAAGCCATTGTTAGACTTGGGCTGGCTGACAAGTTAAACTGGGTAGCCTTGGTAGTTTGTGTTTAATGCCTGTTCATGTTCACTGCTGAAAAAGCCATTTATAGACCAGGGCGATGACCCACTTCTTTTGTATAAAATCCTCACCTAGGCATGCAGACTGCTCTACAAACATTGGTGAAAGAATGGGTCGCTCTCAGGAGCTCAGTGACTCCAAGCGTGGTACTGTGATAGGTTGCCACCTGTGCAATAAATCCATCCATGACATTTCCTGGCTACTAAATATTCCACGGCAACTGTTAGTGGGATTATAACAAAGTGGAAGCAACTGGGAACAACAGCAACTCAGCCACCAAGTGGTAGGCCACGTCACATGACAGAGCGGGGGTCAGCGCATGCTGAAGCGCACAGTGCGCAGAAGTCACCAACTGTCTGCAGAGTCAATAGCTAAAGACCTCCAAACTTGGTGTGGCCTTCAGATTAGCATAACAACAGGGTGTAGAGAGCTTCATGGAATGGGTTTCCATGGCCGAGCAGCTGCATCCAAGCCTTACATCACCAAGTGCAGTGCAAAGCGTCGGAGGCCGTGGTCTAAAGTACGCCGCCACTGGACTCTAGAGCAGTGGAGACGTGTTCTCTGGAGTGACCAATTGCGCTTCTATGTCTGGCAATCTGATGGACATGTCTGGGTTTTGTGGTTGCCAGGAGAACGGTTCTTGCCTGACTGCATTGTACCAAGTGTAAAGTTTGGTGGAGGGGGGATTATGGTGTGGGGTTGTTTATCAGGGGTTGGCTTGGCCCCCTAGTTCCAGTGAAGGGAACTCTTAAGGTGTCAGCATACCAAGACATTTTGGACAATTTCATGCTCCCAACTTTGTGGGAAGAGTTTGGGGATGGCCCCTTCCTGTTCCAACATGACTGCACACCAGTGCACAAAGCAAGGTCCATAAAGACATAGATGAGCGAGTTTGGGGTGGAGGAACTTGACTGACCTGCACAGAGTCCTGACCTCAACCCCATAGAACACCTTTGGGATGAATTAGAGCAGAGACTGTGAGCCAGGCCTCCTCCCCCGACATCAGTGCCTGACCTCACAAATGTGCTTCTGGAAGAATGGTCAAACCTTCCAATAGACACCCTCCTAAACCTTGTGGACGGCCTTCCCAGAAGAGTTGAAGCTGTTATAGCTGCAAAGGGCGGGGCCAACTCAATATTGAACCCTATGGACTAAGACTGGGTGGCCATTAAAGTTCATGTGTGTGTAAAGGCCACCCGACCAATACTTTTGGCAATATAGTGTGTGTGTGTATATGTACATGCATAAATGTATTTTTTTTTATAAGTCATGAAATATGACCAATAAAATGCATCTTATTACAGATATTATATATTAAAATGTAACTGACCAAGAAAAAAAATTCGTTTTACTATGACGCATTTTATTTTTGCTGAAGATGTGATTCCACATAGCAGCCTGTGGAGGTCACTGTTGTACCTTCATCAAAGTTATAATGGTTGTGTTTGCTGCACACTGAGCCTATGCTGAACAGTCTCAGTCTCTCTCTCTCTCTCTCTCTCTCTCTCTCTCTCTCTCTCTCTCTCTCTCTCTCTCTCTCTCTCTCTCTCTCTCTCTCTCTCTCTCCCCCTCTCTCTCTCTCTCTCCCCCCCCCCCCTCTCTCTCTCTCTCTCTCTCTCCCCCCCTCTCTCCTCCTCTCTCTCTCTCTCTCTCTCTCTCTCCTCTCCCCCTCTCTCTCCTCTCTCTCCTCTCTCTCTCTCTCTCTCCCCCCTCTCTCTCTCTCTCTCTCTCTCCCCCCCCCCCCCCCCTCAAGATGTGTACTCAATGACAGTAAATGCTTCTATCCTTTAAAGCGGACCCTTCCACACTCCAACCTAATAAACCTGACTACCTAAATACATTCCACTAACTAAAACTAATCAAGTTAGTGTTAATTACCTCCCCCTCCTTGCACAGTTTCTCCACTCTTAGTGCTTTTCATGCCCCACCGGTTGCAAATTGTAAAAACAAAGTCTAATAAGGTGCATGAGCAAGATGAGACGTATGACATTATCCAGGGCTGCTGTTAGAAACCACGGGGGCCCTACAGCCAACCTGATAGTGAATGCAGGGTCCTGGGGAGACCAGATATAGTGAATGCGGGGTCCTGGGGAGACCAGATATAGTGAATGCAGGGTCCTGGGGAGACCAGATATAGTGAATGCAGGGTCCGGGGAGACCAGATATAGGGAATGCAGGGTCCTGGGGAGACCAGATATAGTGAATGCAGGGTCCGAGGAGACCAGATATAGTGAATGCAGGGTCCGGGGAGACCGGATATAGTGAATGCAGGGTCTGGGGAGACCGGATATAGTGAATGCGGGGTCCTGGGGAGACCGGATATAGTGAATGCGGGGTCCTGGGAGACCGGATATAGTGAATGCGGGGTCCTGGGAGACCGGATATAGTGAATGCAGGGTCCGGGGGAGACCAGATATAGTGAATGCGGGGTCCGGGGAGACCGGATATAGTGAATGCGGGGTCTGGGGAGACCGGATATAGTGAATGCGGGGTCCTGGGGAGACCGGATATAGTGAATGCAGGGTCCTGGGGAGACCCGATATAGTGAATGCATGGTCCTGGGGAGACCGGATATAGTGAATGCGGGGTCCGGGGGGACCGGATATAGTGAATGCGGGGTCCGGGGAGACCGGATATAGTGAATGCAGGGTCCGGGGAGACCGGATATAGTGAATGCAGGGTCCTGGGAGACCGGATATAGTGAATGCAGGGTCCGGGGAGACCGGATATAGTGAATGCAGGGTCCTGGGAGACCGGATATAGTGAATGCAGGGTCCTGGGGAGACCAGATATAGTGAATGCAGGGTCCGGGGAGACGAGATATAGTGAATGCAGGGTCCTGCGAGACCGGATATAGAGAATGCAGGGTCCGGGGAGACCGGATATAGTGAATGCAGGGTCCGGGGAGACCGGATATAGTGAATGCAGGGTCCTGGGGAGACCGGATATAGTGAATGCAGGGTCCGGAGAGAGCAGATATAGTGACTGCAGGGTCCGGGGAGAGCAGATATAGTGAATGCAGGGTCTGGGGAGACCGGATATAGTGAATGCGGGGTCCTGGGAGACCGGATATAGTGAATGCGGGGTCCTGGGAGACCGGATATAGTGAATGCGGGGTCTGGGGAGACCGGATATAGTGAATGCGGGGTCCTGGGGAGACCGGATATAGTGAATGCGGGGTCCTGGGGAGACCGGATATAGTGAATGCATGGTCCTGGGGAGACCGGATATAGTGAATGCGGGGTCCGGGGAGACCAGATATAGTGAATGCGGGGTCCGGGGAGACCGGATATAGTGAATGCAGGGTCCTGGGGAGACCAGATATAGTGAATGCAGGGTCCGGGGAGACGAGATATAGTGAATGCAGGGTCCTGGGAGACCAGATATAGTGAATGCAGGGTCCGGGGAGACCAGATATAGAGAATGCAGGGTCCGGGGAGACCAGATATAGTGAATGCAGGGTCCGGGGAGACCGGATATAGTGAATGCAGGGTCCGGGGAGACCAGATATAGTGAATGCAGGGTCCTGGGGAGACTGGATATAGTGAATGCAGGGTCCGGGGAGACCAGATATAGGGAATGCAGGGTCTGGGGAGACCGGATATAGTGAATGCAGGGTCCGGAGAGAGCAGATATAGTGACTGCAGGGTCCGGGGAGACCAGATATAGTGAATGCAGGGTCTGGGGAGACCAGATATAGTGAATGCGGGGTCCTGGGAGACTGGATATAGTGAATGCGGGGTCCTGGGAGACCGGATATAGTGAATGCGGGGTCTGGGGAGACCGGATATAGTGAATGCGGGGTCCTGGGGAGACCGGATATAGTGAATGTGGGGTCCTGGGGAGACCGGATATAGTGAATGCATGGTCCTGGGGAGACCGGATATAGTGAATGCGGGGTCTGGGGAGACCGGATATAGTGAATGCGGGGTCCGGGGAGACCGGATATAGTGAATGCGGGGTCCGGGGAGACCGGATATAGTGAATGCGGGGTCCGGGGAGACCGGATATAGTGAATGCGGGGTCCGGGGAGACCGGATATAGTGAATGCAGGGTCCTGGGAGACCGGATATAGTGAATGCAGGGTCCGGGGAGACCGGATATAGTGAATGCAGGGTCCTGGGAGACCGGATATAGTGAATGCAGGGTCCTGGGGGGACCAGATATAGTGAATGCAGGGTCCGGGGAGACGAGATATAGTGAATGCAGGGTCCTGGGAGACCAGATATAGAGAATGCAGGGTCCGGGGAGACCAGATATAGTGAATGCAGGGTCCAGGGAGACCAGATATAGTGCATGCAGGGTCCTGGGAGAATAGTTATAGTGAATGTAGGGTCTGGGAAGACCAGATATAGTGAATGCAAGGTCCGGGGAGACCAGATATAGTGAATGCAGGGTCTGGGGAGACCAGAGATATAGTGAATGCAGGGTCCGGGGTGACCAGATATAGTGAATGCAGGGTCCGGGGAGACCAGATATAGTGAATGCAGGATCCTGGGATTAAGTAACACTTTAGGGTCCCATTCACTACATGGCGGTCCATTATGGTGCATTTAATGTGCATTGCATTAGAGCAGCCCAGATATTTAAACTGCACCAATGCACACTAATGCACCCCAACAGTGCAAGTTTCATTAGTGTGGTGCACTTCAACGTGTAATATGTTACCGTGTGCTGCAACGCAGATTGTGCAGGAAGATGCGTTTTAGTGCACCCAGGAGTGATAGGTGCAGCATCCAGCCCCGCTGCAGGCACCCCCTCATCTCTGCCTCCCCTGGTCTCAGCATTCTGCAGACTCTGGTAACTGACTCCACTCCTCCTCTGGTCCTCCTCCAGACCATTCAATTTCTGATTTCCAGCTCTACCCCTAAAGGGGATGCACATTGAAGTTAGGGAGAGTGTGGGACTCATGACATCTGATGTAATGGGGGGGGTGCTGATCCAGATTAATCAGTTGTCGCCCACATAACACATATGGGTGGGCTTTAAAAGAGAAGTATATACTTGTTCAAAAAAATATTTATACTCACCCAGGTGGATGCAGCATCGCTCTGATGCTCCATCTCTCCCCCGCCAGCTCTGCAGTGAGAACTGAGCAATCAAACATTGCTGATCACTCAGTTCTCCTCTCCGCTCTGAGCACAGAGCTGGGACTGTCAGTCACCAGCTCTCTGTTCTGACTCTCCAGTGCTCACTGGAGCGCTGGGCTGTGGAGAGGACAGAAGGGGCTGGCTTAGGCTCTCAGTGGATCGCTGAGAGGTTGAGCCAGGCTTTTCAGATCCAGTTCCGGCTCTGTGACATAAGCTGCCAGTTGAAAACGGGTCACAGGAGTGCAGAGCGAACTGCACTCCTGTGACCTACATGAGAAATACAGCCAAACGAGCTTTGGCTATACTTCTGCTTTTACCGCCCACACACACCACACATACAGTATGTGTCACTGGATGGCCAATGTTTCTGATCTCCCAGCCAGGGGCGGACTGACAACTCATGGGGCCCCCGGGCAATAGGGGATCATGGGGCCCCTGTGTCCTTGCCCAAACTCAAAAAAGCCTATGAAAAAAGATACCAGGGGCATCTCATGGGGCCCCCTACTGACCCCGGGCCCTCGGGCAGTGCCCGAGTTTCCAAATGGTCAGTCCACCCCTGCTCCCAGCACAGAGCCTGATCTGTCAAAGACAGCTCTCTGTCCGGACTAATAATCAGCAGCCAATGAGACTGGCTCCCAACCATGTGATCACTGTGAAAACCAATCACAGCGGTCACATAATCACAGCGGTCCCTGCTCCTTGTCGTCCCCTGGGTGTTTGGAACTTTTTAAAGGGATACCAGGGCAGACGGGAAGGGGTTAAGGGCCATGTCAAATGGGCCTTTTTGTAGCAGCGGGTAAAATCACTGATGCAAACAATTTGTAGCTAGCTATTTAATTGCTGTAGTTGTCGGGGAGTTGTCACCAAGAAGTGATTTGTTGCTGCTACAGTTCAAACTAGAGCTACATCATTACGCTGCACCACAGAGGTGAATGACGAGCGATTGTCGCTAGTAAGCTTGTTGCTGCACATATTCGATCACCAAGCCAGTGTGCAACAAATTACTGTAAAATGAGCAATTCCATAGAAAACAATTATTTCCTTCACAAGAAATTGCTTTTAAAAAAGCAAGATAAATTACTTATCTGACATGGCCCCAAGAGCATTGTGCAATGCAGTGGAGTCTGACTGAACAGTAGTGCTGACCCTTCCTTTCCTAGCCTTAGGCTGGCCATACATGATACAATTTTCTTGAGAATTTTGCGTTAGATTTACCAAAAAACCATATAATATGAGGTCAAACCTAAACACTTTCAGTTGTATCCACTTAGGCAGGCCCTTGTGCTACATAGTTGAAGGTAAATCTAAAGGAAATTGGCCAGAAAATTGGCCAGAAAATTGTATAGTGTATGGCCAGCCTAATGGGGGCCATAGACGGGTTGAAAATCAACCGATTTTTTTGGCCGAAAAAAAAAAATCGGCCGATTTTCGCACCATTAGTGGGTTAATTGGTTGGCCGTTTTTGGGGCTTTTTGCACATTTTTTTTTTATCGGGCATGTTGGAAAATTTGTGGCCGATTTTGACGATCAGCCGATTTTCCCGGCAATGATGGGCAAATTGGACGAATGTTTTACCGATAAAAAATATGCGCATGAGCCGTGACCTGGAAGAAGAAAGAAGAAAGAAGAAGAGAAGAAGAAAGAAGAAGGAGAAAGAAGAAAGAAGAAAAAGAAGGAGAAAGAATAAGAAGAAAAAGAAGGAGAAAGAAGAAGAAGAAAAAGGAGAAAGAAGAAGAAGGAGAAAGAAGAAGAAAGAAGAAGAAAGAAGAAGAAGATCCATCTGTATCTGAAATGGATAAATTGTTGCAACCGCAAGACTTTTTCATGTAAAATATAATAGCGGAGCTCTCTGCAGGGACAGAAGTAATTATGGGGTTAAATGTCGGCCGTCGACGGGATGAAAATCGGCCAATTTTTTTTACCGTTGGTGGTAACGTCGGCTGATCGAACGACCCATTTTTCTTCTTTTTTTAAAAAAAAACAGCCGGTTTTCGACTTGTCTATGGCCTGCATTAAGCTGGTCATAGATGAGTCAGTTTTTTTCGTTCAACCAGTGGGTTAAACACCCACTGGTGGCAAGAATGGTGGGAGCTCCTCTCAAGGGCCACAGCAGGTGCAGATCCAAGAACTGATGCAAAGATCTCACCATAAGTCCATAGGAGATAGAAGAAACTGCCAGGTAGGTAAATTCTCCCAAGATCTACAAAAAATTAAATAGCCGTTTGGCTAGGATTTTCACTTACCACCTACAAAAAAAAGGGTTCTTTACTGTAAAAGCTTTAGAAATGTAGACTAGTTCTTAACACAAGCAGCTGATTGTTCCCTAAAAAAGGTCTGGATGTTTTCCTGAAAGAACAAAATGATAATATATTGTGTTTCTGCCTTCCTCGGGATTAGCTGGTGTTTCTAAGGATGAAGGTGCTTTTCTTAAATTGAACTTGATGTACTTTCTTTTTTTTTAACTAACTCTGACTGCTTCTTGTTCCTTATGTTAATATTTCATTCACTTGTAAGCATGCCAACATAGAAGACATTCCTCTTTATACAAATTATATACTTAACTATTTTATACAGAGTGTGAGAGTCCAAGCTGTCATAATTATTTGTGAATAAAAAAAGTCCTCTGTTGGGTTATATTGCTGCCTTTGTCCCCTTGAGACCCCATTCCCACCTCAGTAATCTGAAGCCCATTTCCCAATGAGCTTCAACATTAATGTGGAAATAAACTCCCAAAAGGAAGTTAGTTCCACTTCAGCTCTCCCCTTATCTGCAAGAATAGCAGGGAATCTTTTTTCTTTTTACATTTGTTTTTTTTTGTGTTTTTGTTTTTTTTTTTTTAATTTTTAGGCTCACCGTTCGGCTTAGGCCAAAATGACCTGTACTCAGTCCTGGGATACTTACATCACATCTTCCAGGAGAATGCAGGATCAGCACACAGAGCAGCTGGAAGGTGGTCCTGGGGCAGGTCCAGCGCATCATCAGAGCTTGCTACCTGCACCCAGAAGAAGCAGCGAGCTGAACAGGACCAAGATGGCGGCAAGGGGGCCTGCTGTGTGGAACCCGAATAGTGGATATGCAGAGGAACAGTAATGGATTTGCTGTGTGGGTGAGTATGAGCTTGGAAGAGCACTACAGCACTGCAGGTAAATGTGAAAAAACATGGGGTCTGGCGGGAGTTGAGTACCGCTTTAAGATCTCCATTATTTTCAAAGGGGCTCGTTAACACCAGAGTATTTTGTCGCTTGAAGCTTGTCGCTTTAGGTTAAAGAAAGTACTTTTCGGTAGAAACGCACATTTTTGGCTCCATAGATATCAGTGAAAGTGCCTGAAAATTAGCATAATGAGCATTATCTTGCCTGTCCTCTTCCTAGTAACTAGCTTTCCATTGGTTAAAACAAAAATGCTGAAGCCTGAAATTGTCCAGAATAGCAAGAGTATGGACTCACAAAAAAAAGCATTTTCATCCATTGTATTTGTCCCGGTGACCAACGTCATTGGGACTGAAAGTAAGGGTACAGCAGCATAGAAGAGATTTTCCATTGTCCCGGTGACCAACGTCATTGGGACTGAAAGTAAGGGTACAGCAGCATAGAAGAGATCTTCCATTGTCCCGGTGACCAACGTCATTGGGACTGAAAGTAAGGGTACAGCAGCATAGAAGAGATCTTCCATTGTCCCGGTGACCAAAGTCATTGGGACTGAAAGTAAGGGTACAGCAGCATAGAAGAGATCTTCCATTGTCCCGGTGACCAACGTCATTGGGACTGAAAGTAAGGGTACAGCAGCATAGAAGAGATCTTCCATTGTCCCGGTGACCAACGTCATTGGGACTGACAGTAAGGGTACAGGAGCATAGAAGAGATCTTCCATTGTCCCGGTGACCAACGTCATTGGGACTGAAAGTAAGGGTACAGCAGCATAGGAGAGATCTTCCATTGGAGACACTTGTTCTGATGACAATCAGCCAAGAGGAGATTAATGTCAGACTGGAGACATTTATGTTGTGTCCCCAAGAC